CTCTAACTGCTGTGCAAGGTACCAAAGTCTGCCCTGTACGTTGGGTCTGACCGTCATAATCTTGGCCTTCCACGTAATTAAAAATAAAATTATGCCAATATCAGATAAATATGATTTTAATAAATTTGATAGAAAAAAAATAAAATCATATTTTCCTAATGATTTAAAAAATAAACTAAATAATCTACTTTTAGAAAAAAAATTCATAAATATTTATAATGAATTAAATAATATTAATAAATAGGATGAAGAATTAGTAAAAAAATTAAAAAATAATTATAAATCTATTATAGATAATCTTACATTTGATAATGATAAAAAAATACTAAATAAATTAATAGATGATAAATTAAAAAAAACTTTACTATTTTTAGAATATAAAAAAACTATCAATAATGAAAACAAAATTGAAAATTTAGTAAAAGATAACAAAAATACACTTATCTATAATATTAGAAATGATATAAATATTAATCAATTACAAAAAAATATATTGATTAATAATATTATTCAAGAAAAAATAAATAATTCTATGAATGAATTATATAATGAATTATTAATACTTATAAACAAAAAAACATTTTTCTCTATACAAAAAACAAACATAGTACATTTAATGCTTTATAAATTAGATCAAAAATATTTATTGAATCGTGATGTAAATACAATCTTTAAAAAATTTCTACCTGAAGAATTAGAAGATGCAATTATTGATTATGATTACAAAATTAAAAACCTTGATTCTAGAACTTCTAAAGATTTAGAAACCCAAAAAAAATTAGAAAAAATTAATTTTAGACAATCAAAACATGATTTTATATTACGATAATTATAGAAAATATCTTAATTATAAATTAGATAAAAATAATATTTTATTAAATTATAGTGAAAATTTTATTAATAATAGAAAAGTTTTTAATGCTAAAGAAAAATTAACATCAAAATTTATAGAATATAACAAAAAGTTTTATGAATTAATTCTTGAAAGAATGGAGACTAAAAAAAATGATAAAGAAAAATTTAAAAATAATAGAATTTTTGATAAAGAAATTAAATTATTAAGAAATGAATTTTTATCAAAAAATAACTATAAAATCTCTACATTATAAGAATTAAGAAAAAATATTTTATCAAATCAATAATTATTTTAAATGATAAGAAGAAGAAGATTAACTATTAAACAACAATATGATAGATGGCAAAAAAAAATTAAAAAAATTTAAATAATGATAATAAAATTAGAAAAGATTTACAAAATTATTTAGAATATATACATAAAAACTTTTATATTAAAAACACTAGAACAATTATAGATGAAGAAAAAATGTATGATTCTATAAAATTAATTTCTGATGTTTATCTACAAGAATCAGAAAAAGATTTTAATGAAAACAAAAAAAACAAATCAAAAAAGAAAAAATGAATTTATTTTTTAGTAATGAAATTATAAAACTAGTAGTAAATATAATTAAAGACAAGATAGTATAAATATATAACATTATTTATTTTTTTTCCTTCTTAAAATGAAGATTATATTTTTATTATTAATTGTGTCATTATTAATAAATATTTTATTTTCTACTTGTAATTGTAATTCAAATAAAAATAATATTATTTCATGTAATAAAAAGCTTTTTCAATCAGATCAAAAAATTTGACATTGTGGAATCAGTGAAAGTACATCACATATAGCATCGAATAAAAGATGTCCTGGAAAAAAATACAAAAGTTTTTATTAATATTATTAATCATAAATTTATTGATCTCGCAAACATATGCTACAAGATGTAGAATATGCAGAAATCATGGTCATAATAGAAGAACATGTCCAACACATATGATTAATTATGGAAATCCTGCATTAATTCTATATAATGGAAATCATTCTATGATTCTTTATAATAGAAATAATGCTATAGTTCCATACAATCAAAATAATGCTCTTATACCATATGAAAATAATGCTCTTATACCTCAAAGATCGATGATTTTTTCAAATCAAGATAATAAAATGTGTTAATAGAAAGTTCCTTGGGCAACAAATATAGTAATTAGAACACATCTTCATCATGGAAAAACTTGTAGTTAATGTGGTGCTATGGGTTATACAATTAGAAAATGTCCTATTAGACCACCAATAGTAATTGGAAATTTAAACAATTTAAGAAAATCTGTAAAAAAATATTTTGAAAATCCAACATTAAATTTGAGATCATGTCAATGCTGTAGTAAAATTGGTCATACTCAAAGAAATTGTTATAGAAGAGCAAATTGTATTTCAAATGTTCAACTTAATGAAATTAAAAAAGAAATTCATAAATTTAAAAATCAATACAAAATGAATGATCAAATAATTCCCCAATTCATGCTTTCACAAAATCTTTTAACATATTAAATAAAATGAATTTAATAAAAATATTATATTTATTATTATTAATATAACTTGTGAAATGTCAATTTGTTTATTATTATCCATATTTTAATAATATACCTTATTATCATGTAAATATACCTTACCAGTATGTAAATGTACCATTTCAACAACAATATATAAATATATCACAACAACCATTTATTTTTTATAATCAAAATATTCCTAAAATACCAAGAGTTTCTAGAGTACCAAAAATACCAAGAAGACCTAAAATTCCAAATTATATTGCTGCATGTGGTTGTTGTAGTAATGAAAATCATAATTATAATGATCCTCAATGTCTATTTTAAAATGGATTAGTACAACTATGTTTAAATCCTAGATTAATAAAATTAATTAGAGAATTGAGATTATGGTATGTTGAAAATAATAGACCAGTAGCACTGAATATTGGAATTGAATTACAACCTCCACCAAAACAACCACCTCCTATACCACATAGACCTCCACTTTCAATTCCTCTAAGACCTAGAAATAACAGAAATGGTAATGGAAATAATAATATTCCTTATAATAGAATGGGTTTACAACCTATAAGAAATCTACAAAATCAATTTCAAAATCTTCAAAATCAATTTCAACAACATGATCAAAGATTGGTTAATATAATTAGACAATCAGAAATCCAATTAGAAACTATATTAGATCGTATAAATAGAAATATTAACACTCATTACACAAAAACAAATAATAATATTTTTAATTATTTCAATCAATTAAACTAAAGAATACTTACAGCTGGTAAACATTAAATGAACATGGACAAAATATTAATCAAATTAATAATAATGTAAATCAAAGATTTAATAATTTAGATAGAAATATTAATAATCGATTTGAAAGAATTAATGATAATATTATTAATATGAATCAGAGATTTGATATTCTTGGTTCAACTTTAAATAATAATTTTGATAAAATAAATACTAATATTGATAATACAATCCAACAAATTAATACAAATTTTAGAGATTTTAATCAAAGAATTAATAATTTAAATCAAAATAATCAAAGACTTAATAATAATTTTGATAATTTATTTCAAAGAATCAATAATAATAATCAAGAAATAGGAATATCTATAAATTATTTTAATGAACAAATAAATGATATTAATCAAAATATTTATAGTATAAATTTTGATAATACACGTTTAAATACTTATTTACCAAATTTAGAAAATTTATATACTCAATTAATAACAAGAAATAATAACAATTTTGAAGAATTATTTAATAATCTTCAAAATGATATTAGAACTATAAATTTAAATAATGAATGTTTACAACAATATATAGCAAATTTTGAAAATATACAAAATCAATTAACTACAACAAGAAATAATTATAATCTTGAAGCATTTAATAATTTCAGAAATGATATTAGAAATATGGTATTTAGACAATTAAATACTAATCAATAACAAATTTTACAAAGAATTATAAGAATTAACCAACCTAAAAGAATGAGTATTACATATAGAAGAACAATCAATTATCAATTACCACAAATAGAAAATACACCTAGTATAATAATGGATGAAATGCAAATATATTCTCATAGTGATAATTCTTTAGGTCAAGCTATTTATAATCCTGATAGTAGTGGAAGTATAACATATATTACTAAAATTATAGTTGGAAATACACATAAATTAACAGATGATGAAAATAATAATGAATGAAATATAAGACCAAGATTTAGATCAAATGATGATAATTCAATAAATAATCAAATAAACATAGCAATGAATGAACCAATAATATAAATATAATAAATTAATTTATTAAATATTTGTTATTCATTTTTTTTTTTTTTTTTTTTTTTTTTTTAACCTTAGACAGTTACACTAGTAATTTATTAAGATTCTAGAAACTATAAAATTATATAGAAATTCCTAATATCTAAGTCCAGCATCACTTAGCCACCTTTATGGTACCTAAGTGCAACCTGCCACACTATCTTTGTTAAAGATAGACTGCTCGTCGAGCTACTTAAAGCTATACCAGAAAAGTCTTCTCCTTTCCGTGACAAGCATGTTCAATGTCTTCAAAGCTTCTTTCTTCCTTCAGTCTGCCCCTTCTATTTCCTTTTTTTTATATAAACGAAGCACAAACACAAAATCTAAGGAGAGTAAAAAAAGGGGTAATATCTATCATCCAAAGTACGAACCTTCCACAACAAGAAAACCAAAGAGCAAAACATCAAAAAAGAAAAAGAAAACAATAAAAAAAGAAAAAAATAAAACAAAACAGAAAAACAAAAAAGAAACAAATGAAAACGAATAGCACTATTAAGTCTGTGCAATGACTATAAAAATTATATAGTACTATAAATATAGTGTTTCTCTACCCTAT